CCCAGATACCCCGTTTTCCCCGGATTCTTCCGTTTTTTCACCTAAATTTTGTTCTTCCGTTTATTGTTTACCCGGAATGGATAATTCTCCGTTTTTTTCTTTAAGTCCATTGCGAATTATATTTCATGGGTTAAATATTATCATACATTTTTGTAATCCTTTCGTTATGTTGCATTTCGTGAATGTTGGCAACACTTGAGGTTCTAAACCAAAGTAGAGGTTATTGGTGATAGTGTATTTTATGTAGTATGCTGATTATGTATATTTTATAGCCTATTAGTTGTGAAAAATGTCGTTATAAACAAGCAACGAGACATCACTCCTTTTTTTATTTTACAAAATCTGGCAATATTATCCACTCACCTATGTCTTGGTCTTCCTAGTGGTCTCTTTCCTTCTGACTGCCACCAATATCCTATATGCATTTTTCTTCTTCTTGTTCCTTGTGGTAAACCTTTCCACCTATTTTTGTCCAATATGGTCACGACATCTCAGGACTCAAATCTCTACTTGTCTTTTTACCGGTCAAGTAGCTTCCATTCATCTCCTTAATGTTTCATTTCTAACTTAATTTTCTCTAAAACAGTAGGAACTGCGTAACATGAATTCTATGACGTACACTTTCCCTCTAGTTACAGCAGACACGTGTCCGGATAGCTTAACAATGCAGTAACTGACTGGATGCAGGGCAAGGGACGGGGATTCACAAAAACTGGAAAATTCCTCTTCGTTGCTACGCTCATACTGACACTGGCTACCTCCCAGCCTTGTATCCATTGGGTGCCGGGAGCCATTTCTTAGGATATACAGTGGCCGGAGCGTGAAACTAACCACTCACCATGCAGTATCTATGTTCAAATGACATGGAGCTATGTGATGACGAATTGAAAATATAGCTCGAATAGGTTAATAACAGACGCGTAAGGAATTTCAAGGGAACCGAGCGTTCGGAAACCTGACATGGGGGGGGGGGGAAGCTATTCATATTGGTTTTATGAATATATTCCTTCTGCATAACGTTATTCACATACGTACGACCCAATCCAGCGCTGCGGGTCAGCCCCCCCACCTTCTCAACCATCATGCCTTGCAACTTTAGAACAATATTTTATATTTTTGGACATTATCCATCTTCTTGTCTTTATCTAAAAGCCGTTCTGTTTATTTTTCAAAACACAACGTTTCTGAGACTGGATTCTGCCCCCGTCTTCAGGTAAAATCTAATCAGTTGTGCCAAACTTTTAGATCTTACTAATATTCATTAATCACACTCTCTACATGACCTGTGAAAATATTCTACTAAAAATCACAAAGTTTCGTTATCAGGACAAAGAGGCAACAGTCTGCCGCTTAGTCAAGCAGATAACCAGATGTGACATCAGCACAGTTGTCCTCTGCCTTCCGTGCAGTTGAAACGGTTAACGCGTCGGATATTTCTCTTTTTCCAACTCGTACCCCTCCACTTAATTAACAAGCCGGAAGGTCGCGGGTTCAAGTACCGATGAGGTCATTGGATTTTTTTCAGTTTACCTAATCCTTCCAGCCGCACTATGGTCCTGGGGACGACTCAGCCTCTAACAGAAATGAGTACCAGGAATTAATTAAAAAATTTTCCTGGGGAGTAAAGCGCGGCCGGTGCCTAAGGCTGACAACCTTACCGCCATCTTTGAGCCGGTTGTCTTGATAATGTGGGACCCTCAAGGTCTCACAACCCTATGGGCCTCCACGGCCAGGTACAGGGATAGCTTTACTTTACTTTTACCCCTCCATTTAGTCTCTGGCACTGAAACGATATTTGTCATGTTCCTTGTAAATCATTCCACTACAAATACACGTCTGTAACTGCTACACAAACATTATTTCTATGTTAACAGTTACGAACACTGCAACAGTACGAAACAAATTTAAAGTCATATATTCAGTTTAAATGAGCAGGGTAACGCTGAACTGTACGAGCATATTGATTAATTTACAGTTGTCAACAGCCTTACCACACACATAGAAACACTTCTATTTATGCGTGTGTGTGTGTATACATATACATATATGCTCACATATGTATTCGATACATAGAGAAAGGCGCACAGTCGTGTATAAGTCTAAGTGATTTGGTACGATCTAATGTAGGATTGTGTAAATAACCGTTTTCGATACTTCATTACAGAAGGAGTTTGTGCATACAACATATATATATATATATAGGTAAAGCTATCCCTGTAAGAGATCGTGCAGGACAATAGAGTTGTGAGACGTCGAGGCTCCCGCATTTTCTCTAGACAATTGGCTGTCTGGTTGTCAGCCTTACGCGCTGGCCACCCTTCACTCCCAGGAGGGTTCCTGGTGCTCATTTCTGTTAGAGGTTGAGTCGACCCCAAGGCCATAGTGCGGCCGGAAGGTTTAGGTCAATTGAAAAAAATCCAATCACCTAATCATCGGGACTCGACCTCGCGATCTTCCGGTTTGTAGCACAGTGCCTCAACCAACTACGCTATCTCGTGCCCCTATATTTATAAATATACATAGGTATACTCGGTTATATATATGTATGTGTGTTGTGTGTGTATGTATGTAACTTGTCGGCAGCTCAGACAATGTAGTACAGAATAGTAAGATGATTAATGAATAGGAAATGATATGAAAGAGAGCGGTCGTGCTCTATTTTGACATGACATCGCGGCTCTTACTTTGAAATCCGCAGTCGAGAAGTCGGTGTCCCTCCCGGGACTGGACTAATCCGAACTGACTTACAGCACCTCCAAAAAATATATATATTTTATCGGATTATTTTATTTTCCTGGAGTAAAAATGAATTCTTGTAAAACCTGACACTACGTGTTAATGGACCTGCTTCTCTGGGTCATGTGAGTGATGTAACTCAGTTGCATAAATGTTGACCTTTTTTTTTTTCCTTGGCTCTACAGCCCCAGTGGGCCTAGGCCTACCTCCATGAACTTCTCCGTTCACTTCGGTTTTTCTAGATCTTACACATACGGCAGGACTCCTTGGGCGGGTGATCAGCTCGTCGCAAGGCCTCTACCTGTACACAAACATCCATGCCCTGGGTGGGATTCGAACCCACGATCCCGGCTTCCGAGCGAGCGAAGACAGTGCACGCCTTAGACCGCTCGGCTACCGTGACAGGCTGTTGACAACCTTAAAGAAGTATAATTTGGGGCTACTTATATATCAACTGTACCTATGAATCGTTTGAGTAACTAACTTTACTACAAAAAAATGTTTTCTTTTCATTTGAAATCCAGTAATCCGAATGATTCGACAGCCTGAACACATTAGTGTCTTACTTCAGACTGTCGGAGTTACTCTGTAAACGCAAACATGCTTGTAAGCACAAACTTTGCCGCTAACTAATCATAAAAAACAGACTCATAAATACTCTTAAGTTAGGTAAAAGGTAAGGTATGTTAAAGATGTCCTTGTGCTTAACTAATTAAGCACGACGACATGAAGGTGTATGGGGAAGTGGGTGTACAGACCGACGTTTTCTTGACCTCGGCATTAGTTGGAGGTGAGTGGTCAGCTACACGTGCCGACTCTTAAGTTAACTGCACCAAATTATATAATCCTATCTATAGCTTCACATTTTCTCATATACTCAGATAGAGCTCAAAAGGACCTACAAAATTTAACTTTTTTCTTTGTTTCGCTTGTTCTTTAACGACGTTGCCAGTATCGAGACTTTACTATATAACGTCGATGAGAGGATGATTAATGCATAAGAAGCAGCTGGAGTGAGAATTGGCAGGGGAAACCGAAATACTCGGAGTAATCCTGCACCAGTGCCACTTTGTACACCACATGACCTGACCTGGGATCGAACCAGGCTGCCACAGTGGAAAGCCGGTCATTAACCGCCTGTGCTAAAGCACGGTCTTTCATTCTTGTTGAGTCTGTTAGCACCTACATGAACTACTATATTAGTGTCATAAAACTATCAGTCAATTATATCTGCAGTCTCAGGAATAAAACGTAGAATGCAAAGTATCAGGCAGACACAGGATTTAATTATTCATCGCTTCACATGTCGAACTGAGGTATATGCAGTCGAATTAGCATATACATATAACACACATGATACAACTCACAGTCATTGCCTTCAGGCGGGGATGAAGCAGTTCAGAGCCCCATGTTAGAGAACACTAAGTGCTGAACATGTAAATTCCTTGCTGACTGTAGACAAGTTTGCAATACCTAGAAATAGTTCTACGCGCTGCACATTGTAATTTAATATAAGGGCTACTCAATGCGAACAGAATAAGTGAGCAAGCCTAGCCACCTTAAGGTTACATCGCGTACTAATCACATTAAACGTAATATATTTTCACGAACAAATTCCCCTCCGATTCTATATCTTAGAAGAACGCCGGAGAAAATATAAAAACGTTCATATTGAGTGAAAATAATTTCATCACTAGAACCAATCAATCAAACCCAATACAATCTAGCCCAGTCCCTGGCAATAAAATCCATAACTCAATGCCCTGCGATAGCACTCGAAGTCTCGATAACAAGAATCAGTCAAGTCCGATACCGGAACCTGCTCAATCAAGTTCACATTCTCGAGGTCAATCCTCAAGACATGTAATTAGTTAAATCTATGGAAGAGAGTTCTTGAGAAACTTGAAGTCGCCGAGCTAATCAAGAAATTCTTCGTCTCTCATGAACCCCGAATGTTCATAGCTCACAAGAGACCAACACTGATCTTATCCTGATTAAGATTAACCAAAACAACGTCTCGAAGACCTCTTCTTAATATTATCCTCCCACCTCTTCAGTCTCATTGTCTCATTTCCAAAACTTCTTTCCAACAAATTATTCACCTTCACGTAAGCCCCAATGTAACATCCAGGATTCGACAGCACCAGAAACCAAAACCCCACAGTGCTCTTTCCTCATGCAATGTGTAATCTAGTGTTACAACAGATCGCATTCTGCTGAGTGTCTATTCAACACGCTAAGCAAAAGAATAACAGAGGACTCACCCCTTCCACCACGGTTGCCTTGTCACTGCCAAACCAGCACCCATGCTACCAAACATGTTGCTAAGGAAACCGCCAGAGAAGCCTAGATTGGAACTGCCCATGGGCTCCAGGATATCAGTACTACTGCTTTCGTCCTTCTTGCGGTTCCCTATCTTGCTGGTGACGCTGTCCTCAAACTTCTGGGCCTCCTCTTTAGCAGCATCCTCGAGCTGTTTGAACCTGTAACGGCCAGAGAGAAACATTCGTTGCTTTAAAAATGACCAACGAATTAATTCATTCTCACCTTGTCTGGTAACATGGCTCAAAGTTTCAACACCCATCTGGAAGGCTCCCAGAGAAGTCAGACTGTATAATGCGGTCATGGGTCCCGTATGACTCGCAACCAAGAACCAGTGCGCTGGCTAGGAGCAGCAGCAATTTTGCAGTCAGTCACCACTGGACGCAACATTGAGGAAGTTCAAATAGTTCAATCCTCACAACCTATTTCCCTAATATGTAAGTTATCATTATGAATCTCCTTTTGGATATTTCATAAAGATTTAGCTCCTAAAGCCTACTGTCAAGACTTTATGGCTTCGTGACTAATAATAATGGGATTTGGGATTGGATGATTGGATTTACTGACAGCTTCTTGTACAATCTCTCGTATTTACAATCAGTTACAATAACTCTCAATCAATCTTCAGCCGATCCCTTCTTCCTTGACAGGCGAGGCCTCGCCCCATTCTCATTCTCATTCTCATTCTCATTCTACGACTGACTTGATTTGGTTCTGTACCATTTATATAGTCTCGAGGCAGACTCACAGAAACATCGCTTTTGTTGTCAAGAATGCGTCTTTATTTGTCCGTTATCTAACAATGGATATATGCGAATTACATAGAAAACACCTCTTGCGACACTGGTTCTATTGTTGCGTGCGCGTATTTCGGGCGTTGCCTAGAAATGGGTCTACATGTCACACTATATTGATTTCTTGTTTCCCCAGGTCTAGCCACATGTTCAGCCCAGTGTAAACTGGGAATACATTTCGAACTGCGAAAAATTTCTTGCTTCCCACGTCACGGCGGAAAACGTACCCTGTTTGCAGCCCTTCTGCCAATATATAGCACAAGAACTCGTAGATACTCCACACTGGGTGGGAGGTTTACATAGGACTTCGAAATATTTCATAGTAAATGTTACAGACCATTACTGACAAGAATTTCCCGATTACTCCGAGCTATAATTCATAATCATCCTTTTAGCCGCCTATGTATCGAAATCCACATATACCATGAAGGAGGCTCATAACAAACACTAGCTGAGACACTACAACCGTCAGTATACTAACCACAGATCACAAAACTAAGGTCAGTGAAACTGCATTAATGTAGGTCACCCAATGAATAATGGATACACAACACTCCTAAACAAATGACATACGAATAGAACTATGATGCATACGAATGCGTAATGCCGGCAGTGGTTTTCGCTACGCTTGCTTTGTGGGAAAGGGGTCATCATGTATTCCAGGAAACATATTCCTTCACATTAATGATGACTCAGCGGTGACTGTTATCAAGCAGCAGTACATGATTAAAGCAAAGGTTGAACGAAGATTCTCCAACTTTATATAAGTTTGTACCAAATGAACTTTCTTAAATAATAAATTTACATTAAAAGTTAGCGGCCTTCGTAGTCTAGAGGTAACGTTCCCACCTCATGACTCGTAGTACGCGGGTTCAAACCCGGCGGAGGTCATCGAATTTTTAAGGGCGCAAAAATTCAGGGAACAAGTCCTCCGGGAGGGACTTTAAGCCGTGGGTCCCGTGTCGTAGCTTTACGGCACGTAAAGGAACCTCATATCTCCTAAGGAGGTCACTGAGCCAAATTAACGGACGTTTCCCGCCCAACAGCAGTCTCTAATACCTCTGGTAGATGGGGGAAGCATTATAGATACCTCTCAGCTAGTAGAGCCGGTCTCGCTGGCTGGGCGGGACTGATGGTAAGCACCAGTACTGGTAGGATATAGAGACTGGTAGAAATCATAGAGGGAAGTACAATGGAGCAATACAGGTCTAAGTGCATGGGGAAACCCACCCTCTCCAACTAACTAACTAACTAACTATATTAAAAGTTCTTACCCGAAAACTGAAACTGAAGAAAAGCTCCGAGTAATGAAATGTATAGGCCTATTCATATATTCATATGGATAACGCATATAAACCCTCTTAAAAATCATAAGTAATTCTTCTCAGAATGAAACTAGTGCAAGTTTCAAAATTTCGTGTATCGCCACGGTTTATCCAGGATTACGATCATAGTCAGTTATAGCAAACCAAAATAGGGCTGGTCATAAGAACGTTACAATTACGAGTATTTGTATAACTTTGCGCAATTCAGAAATTCCTTGTACAGAGGAAAATATATATATGAAAAGATAGACACATGAGATATTATAATGGACAGTTCGGAATCTGAAACCCATGATTTAAATATACACTAATGTAACTATTATAATCGTTTTATAGAGGTCTGAGGGAATCATCATGGACGGAAGACGTCTGTGAACAAAGTACAGAGTTATTCATAAGTCCGTGAAACATTTTGAAAATTTACAATAAATAAACTACGCAACGGATACCAAATTTTATACACTTAAATAGAGATAAACTCACCAAGGTTTTTTTTTTACATAGTTCACAGATGCTCAATATGTCCGCCTTTGCTGATACTGCAGACATTTGTGCAATAATCCATTTCGTCCCACACCCGTGTCAGCATATCACGGTTGATCAGAGCCCCAGCAGCGGTGATACGGTTGCGAAGATCCCTGAGATTAGCAGGCAATGAAGGCTTTTAAAACAAACTTTGATAGATTCATTCTATATCGGCGTAAGAATTACCTTGATCCCATGCATAGTCTATTTGTTGTGAATCTGAAAATGTTTCACGGACTTATGAATAACCCTGTATTATGAGATATGTCTAAGAAGGAATACGTAACAGCTGGATAGGGAAAATTCTGTTAATGAGAAGCATCATGATTTGTATTTTTTGACGAATGTTATTAGGATGATCAAATCAACAAGACTAAAATGGGCAAGGCCTGTTGTAACCGTTGTATATCTAAGAAATGTATACGAAGTTTCGTCGAAGACCTGAAGGGATGGAGACGACTAAGGAGGCGTGGGCATAGACAAGTAGCATAATATTACATCAGTCCATATTTCGTTCAATAAATATGATGTGAAGGTGTGAAGTGAGTTCAACTCGCTCAGAATAAGGCACAGTGGCGGAATATTCTTGTTGTGAACTTCCGAGTTCAATAACAGGGGAGGAATTTCTCGACTTCTGAGCGATAATTACCCTCTGAAGGACGACTCTATTACACAGAGGTATGTCGTGACGGAAGCATAACCACAGACTTGACATCGTCCACGACTACAGCCAACTGGCCCTTAGGTAGCTTCTGTAGCTACAACCCCCCCCCCCCCCCCCCGCAGCACCCACNTAAGAATTCCACTGGCCCGGTTTCTGCAAGACGTACCTTTTCTAGGAAACTTCCCAGCTGTGGCGTCTAGCATTCCTGTTCGAAGATCTATAAGGTCTATTGTCACCAGTCGACTTCATATTCTAATACAATCAGGAAACAATGGTCAGAATCTAAACCTGGGTCAATGAGGCTGCAAAGTTTCAGGACAGAGTTTCATGTCTTCCTCGTAATAAGGGTAGCTGAATGTCAGCCAAGGACAAGTTACTTATACCGTAACTAACTTACTATATCAGTCTCGTTAATGTTTTCTCATATGATATCAGGTTCAAGAATAGTCATCTCTTGGCACAACACGCCTTTGACACGCGTATCATCTCTAAGTTATTACTGGTTCAACAAGTAAACATCTCATGCTTTCTGAGAATTAACGGTAGTCCCCATCATCTGAATTTTATGGCTGCACAACAAAGTAAAATCAAGTAAAAGTTACCTTACGAGTGATGATTTACCGCCAGTCAGTTCGTCTTCGCGTCAGGCCCTTTGAGGCCCAGACCAGAGATTTTTTCTAACTGAGCTCTTGCGGTAATAATCGTGTAACATCCTCTCTGACGAGAAGATGGGTTTGCCTCTTATACAAATATAGTACTTGGCCTTTCGTCAAGTGTATATTTCGCACATATAACATGTTACTGAAAATTTCTCCTTTTGTACGACACACAAGTCCTCTGTCAGTATAGACTTTACAGAGCAGATCATGCCTAACTTACATATCTTATGCTACAACGGCAGCTTAGCCAATTGACCGGTCGCAAGCTTGACCAGCGCCAAGTTTAAGCCTCTTATATTGTCTATGTCTGGCTTCACCTTGTCCTATACCGCGATGCACAACAAAATAAAGATACCATTCTTTATATTTTCAAGTATGTTCAAGTATATTATCACTGTTACTACCGAACACTGAAAAACGCCGAAATTATCAAGTACTGATACGTAGAATTCTGGAAACATAACAGAAACCATGTACTAGAATATACTAAATGCCTCTACTTCTAGCCCAGTGCGACGTTATTATGGAAATGTTATGAAATAAACGAAGTCTGTCTACGGACGATTCTACAAGAATTTTATTTTTCTTTACTCATGGAATATACGGTTAAAAATCTGCCTTGATGCTGTGTTCTTGGTTTCAAACTGCAAAGAAAATTTGCAGCCCTCTAGAAAATCTGCTAAAGTTGTACACTAATTACTACAGATTGTGTACACCATGAATATGGAGGCATCTTCTTGTTAAATGCAATCTGACCTTCAAATGATGTGCCCGTCTTAATAACAAGACCCCGAACCCCGAGTCATGGTGGCTTAATATGTAAAGTGCAAACATTATTTAAAATCAGTTTGAAGGTGAGTTATTCTTTACTGTGTTAACAGTTGCAAATACACAGAGCAGTGTAGTCTACATAAGCAATCCAACTAATGGTTGCTTCTCACTTAAAGGACACAAAGTCAATGCTTGGGCATCAGCCAACTGTTCTGAGCCATGCTACAAGCACTGCCCCATGAAGGCGCAGAATATGTTACTCTCTCATTACTTTTTCGTCTTCCTTGTCCTTGCTTGCCACAGAGAGCTTTCGATAGCCGCTTTTGTAACCGGAAGACACGTTCAAAATATAGTCAAACGTCAATGCCACAAATGCAATCTGTACCTGACTGTGTCAATAGGAATGTGAGCGCCAAACGGTAC